TATAGATGTTCACCAAAAAGGAGTATTACAAGAGGTAAATACATATGGCCTCCAGCCTTTACCACTACCACTCTTTCTAACACCTATCCAGGATTGACACACGAATACCCGAACAATCTTCACAAGATGCTTCAGCAGTACCACGTACTGATCATGTAGTACAGATTAAATATTCATCAGAATTAAATAATAAAATACATTAAAATCGAAGGCTTTGTAAATCAGAAGTGTGCTCTTGAATATTAATCTCAAAATTGGCAGCTTTCCTCTTTGGTGTGGCTTCTTTTTATAGCAAGTATTAAGCCTCCACTTTGATCCTTAATATTAGCCTCTTTTTATTTGAATAAATCACAACCACATCTTTTTTGTTTTGAAAGCTTCATTCATGCGTTGCTGCTGACTTCCTCTTCACTTGCCAATGCATATTGTCCACTCAAATTCACTTTGAAGATATAAAGTGGTCCAAAGGAAGATTAACACTAATAATTCTAATTAACCTCTTAGGGTGTGTTTGGAAACCCGGAAAATGACTTCTGGAAGTCATTTTCCGGGGTTTTGGTGTTTGGTTACATTGGAAAATGACTGGTCAAAGGAAAATGGGGTGGAAGTCAATGGAAAAGGAAGGCAATTTTATGGAAAATGACTTCCCCTTTTTTTTGGGGGAAGTCATTTTCCAACTTTTACACCAACATCATCAACACCATACCACCACCACCACCACTACCAACATACCACCGTCGCCGCCATCTCCACCATACCACCGCCACCACCACCACCATACCACCATTGTCACACCACCGCTGCCGCCACCACTACCACCATACCACCGCAACCACCGTCGCCGCCACCACTACCGTCATACCACCGCCGCCGCCACCACCACCATACCACCGCCACCACTACCACACCACCGCCGCCACCGCCACCACCACCACACCACCGCCGCCACCGCCACCACCACCACCATACCATCGCAACCACCACCACCACTACCACCACCATACCACCGCAACCACCGTCGCCGCCACCTCTACCACCATACCACCGCCGCCGCCGCCACCACCATACCACCGTCGCCGCCACCACCACCACCACCACACCATCGTCATACTACCACCACCATCACACCACCACCAATTATTATTATTATTATTATTATTATTATTATTATTATTATTATTATTATTATTATTATTATTATTATTATTATTATATAACGAATAACACCACTACCACTACACCACCACCACCACCATAATATTTTTGATATATTATTAGTTTTTTTTTTTTTTTGTTGAAAAACTTAGCTATTTTTTATTATATTTAAAATTAATATTATATTATTATATATTATTATACATGTTGTAATATTCTAAATAAAATAATTAAAATGTTTAATTATACAATTCTACTCATTTTCCAGAAAATGAACCAAACACACAAAAACAGTTTTCCAGAATGCAACCAAACACCGGAAAGGAAAATGTTTTCCGGAAAATGACTCATTTTCCAGAAAACATTTTCCAGAAGTCATTTTCCTGGTTTCCAAACGGACCCTTAATTAGAACTAATAATATTACTACTAAATAAAATAGTCAATAAGGTTTAACGTGTAAATACTTTTACACTTACAATCTCCCCCTTTGGCATTTTATTTGGTAAAACTCTAGTATCAAATACCTTGGGCAAAAGATTGAGAATCAATTTCTTTTTATTTATTAGCCCTTAGTATAAGTACTGGACAGTACAAAAGATAATAATGGCACAAAGATCAAAAAATTGACTCGATTTCTTTTTGGACCACTTGTGAATAATGTACCTGATTAAAAGGAACTTCAAGCGGTCGTAGATTGCACATAGTGGGACCAAATTCACCTACTTCCAATAATGTGGGATCAAACACTCCAAAAACTTCCACTGATACATACTTCATAATATATACTTCATAAAACCACTCCATAATAATCCCAATTATTTTCATAATATTCCAAAAGTTCCAAAAGATCCAAATATCCAAATATCAAAAAATACTCCCCCTTACTCCAAAAACTCCCCCTTTTTGCCAAATAAATGACAAAGGAAGGTGAACATCATAATAGTGGATTAGATTTACCGTGCAGACGGGGTGCCCGAAACTGAGTCGTCGTCAGCATCATCAGTTTCATTGGTAGTAGCGCCAGTATTAGCCCTCATCAAGTAGATAATCCAAGATAATCCAAATAAGGTGATGATTATAAAATGAGACCCCAGAGTTTATGATGAGCCAAATAAAACTATAACCAAATGAGATAATCCAAAGTCTGAGAAATTCCAGTAAGAGAATCCAATGCATCATATAGCCAAATAAAGGCTTTATATTTGGCGAGAGATTAATAACCAATTAATAACCATAAACTTCATAATCGAAGACTGATATAATAGCAAGAGATTTACCAAAAGAAGATTACCATAAGAGTAGTAGTACCAAAAAGAATACCATATGCAACAGTCATAGTCAAGCCAATACATAAACCATATTAACTACTACTCCCCCTTTCTTACTTACCGCTTTATTCCAACAAAGACAACCAGTACATACCAAACCAAAAAACGAAAAAATTTATCAAAACAATTTTAACAAATAACATATACGCACAAGTCAATTTGGAGCAGATTAAGTGGATAAAACATACCAAGTAACCAACGTATTCAAGCACAAATTCGTAGCACATAACACAAAAAACACACAATTGGGTCACTCAAAAGGACAGATTGGTAAATAAGACAGTAATCACATTCAGGTAAAGCATATTCAGCCAGAGATTCAACTAAAGCAACATTAGGCACAGATTCATATAAATCTAATTTAGGCACAGATTCATACCAGATAGCACGGGAAAACACACAAATAAACACACATACGGTCATGACCGGGCTAAACACATAACACAGAGTAACACAGGAGAATACAAATATTAAACAAATTGCATCAAATTTTAATTCAAATAACCATAGAGAATTCAAAAATTCAACACAAGGAACACCTAAGCAAAAACAACGCAAGTAGAACATTTAGGAAACACATAGAAAACAGTCAAGAACACAACACAAAGAATCAATCCGCAATTTAGAGTAGTAGGCAACGAAAAGGACTAATTGCGAGAAAATTAAAAAAAAATGAGAATAGAGGGCAAACCAACCATAGAGAGACACACTCCAAATAAAAAAAAAAAAAGAGATATATATGCAATATGAGAGCATGTAGGAACAACACCAATAATTCAAAAGATAACTTTCTTGATCTTGAAACAGATCCTATCACAGATGCAGAATATTACACAGGCAAGGATGAAGAATAGTCAAGATTTGATGAAGGCAAGTATATTGAAGTAGAAGGCACCAATTTAGGTAACAAAACACATACAAAACTCAGCTTTTGACGTAAGAATATTTGCAGGTATTTCACAAGACATATTAGACAATGACACCAAAAAAAAAAAAATCAAGAAATTAACGAAAGGAATTGAAGAGTAATGAACCTGTAATTCTTAATTGCAACCCTCAATTGCAAATTTGTCAGTTTTCATTTTGAGATGCCTTAGAAAATTCCTGAGCTATAGCTTAGATGTCCCAGCTTTTTGATGCCATAACTCAGCTTCATCAACACTAGACCTGCAGAAAAACAACATTGTTGGTCAGAATGTAGCAATTGTCAGTTGACCTCTTACCTTCCATAACGCATTGATTTGTGTCGTCCAGGACACTGCATGTATTTTTGGTGAAGGACACATTCAAATTTTGTTCGCAGAGTTGGCTTATACTTATGAGATTTTCACGAAGACCATTCACAAGCAGTACTTTTTCTAACTTGGGTAGGCCAGTCACATTTAGAGTGCCTACGCCGGTGACTTGACCTTTAACACTGTCACCAAAAGTGACTTCACCTTTTCTAGCCTTCACGTTGCTTAGAAATTTGACATTTTCTGTCATGTGACTAGAACACCCACTGTCGAAATACCACTGCTCTTCTCGTCCTGCACTTTCAGATTGAAAAGAAATAAATGAAATATAGTCAGTCTTTTTAACCCAAATCTGTTTTGTAAATGGTTGAATGTTCTTGTGCCTGAACTTCTCGATTCTTTGATCCTTGTAAAAGTAGTAGCATCCAGGTTTTGTATGACCACGCAACCTGCAATAGTGGCAAACAGGGTTATATAGTTTATAATGGAGCTTATCTGCGCTTACTTTACGATAGGAGCGTTTCCTTGTGCTGGATTCTGGGATGTCCTCTGGATCAGGTCCAAATGCTTTGACAAATACTGTCTTATCTTTGGAGTTACTTCCAGTGAAGCCCAAACCAAATTTTGCAGAAGTTTTCCTGCCGGAACCAAGAATCTTATCAAGTGTTAAAGTGGTATCCATCATTTGAATTTGTCGTTTGTAGGTGCTGAGCTCCTGTTTCAAATTCAGAACTTCTTGTTGGAGTTTTGCTTCTCGGTCAGCTGCTTCCTTAAGAAGTACATTTCTGGTTTGTACTTCGTTTTGAAGTCTTTCCTCTCGACCTGCTGCTTCTTTAAGCAAAACATTCCTATCAGCTACTTGATTTTGATGTACTTTATTTGCATTTGTTACAATCTCTATTTCACTAGCTAGTTTGCAGTTCATTTTTCTTAAAGCTTCCCATTTGGGATACAACTTATTAAATTCAGCTTCAAAAGATAAAGCATTTTGTTCCACATCTTCTGCAGAGACATAGTCACCACCTTCTGAGTCTTCAACAGGTTTTGAACTGTCAGTAATTCGTGCCGTAAATGCAACAAAATTACCTGAAATTTCCTCGACATCTGACCCAGTTGGTTCAACGTCAGGCTCGTCATCGCTCCAAGTAATGGCTGACATAGATTTTTTGCGTCGAAGATAGGTGGCGCACTCAGCTTGTACATGTCCAAATCCCTCGCATTCATAACACTTGATGCCTTTGTTGTTGGACCTTTCTTTGGACTGTCCTGGACGTGAGACAGGCTGTTTGGCGTTTGGCGCCCCTGTCCTAGGTGCAGTCTTGAATGACGTTCCTCCCTTTTGTGAATTTCTGTTGTGTGTGTTTTTGTATACCTGTTTCAAAATTTTGGAAAACTGTTTAGTTAAGAACGCAACTGTATCATCACTAGTTTCATCTGTATCGGATACTACATTATTTTCTTCAGCGGCAAAAGCAATATTTTTTTGTTTTTTCGTATGATCAGTTAAAATCTCCATTTCATATGTTTTAAGATTTCCCATTAGCTGAGTAACAGATTTTTTCTCCCAGCCATCATGCTCTTGGATGGCTGTGACTTTCATTCGGAACCTGGGCGGTAAAGATCTCAGTATCTTTTTGACGAGTTTCTCTTGCGAGAATGGTTCACCAAGGACCATTGCGCGATTTGCCAGTTCCTGTATGCGAGTATGAAAGTCGATGACTGTTTCATCCTCGTTCATGCGCAGTTCTTCGAATTCTAACTGAACCAGTTGCAGCTTCGACTGTTTTACAGAGGTAGTTCCTTCGTATGTTGACTCAAGAGCCTCCCAAGCACCTTTAGCTGAAGGAATACCTGCAACAATTGAAAACTGGCTTTCATGCATAAGAGAATAAATTGTGTCTAAAGCCTTATCATTGTTTCCTGCATTGGTTATCTCTATTTGAGTCCACTCAGTCTCTGGCTTAGTGACTTCTGTTCCATCAGTGCTGGAACTGGGTTTAGTGGGATGTGTCCAACCTGACACCACAGACCGTCATACGGCTTCACCTTTAGCTTTTAGATGCGTACGGGTGCGAGCCTTCCAATATGCATAGTTGTCGCCGGTCAACTGGGTAAGGACTTTAGTTCGCTCCATTCTGTAACACTTAACACCCCGTGAGATCAAACAAATAAGTAATAAACAGATAAATAATAAAAGTCGCTGAAGATATAAATTCAAGAGGCACAAAATCGCCAGATCGATAGACTAATAAATTAAGTCTACAGGCTTTGATACCAATTGAAATTGCACCGTGACACTTGAAATATAAAAGCTATGTGTTTTTACTTGTTAATTAGGTTATGCAGTAGTTACGTTCATTAATTAAACTTGTTTAAGCAAATGTAAATAATGAAAGCTAAAAGCATAAAGAATGTAAAAAAACACAAAGAAATGTTACGCAGTTTGGAGCTCCTTCTCCTACGTCTGCGGGGCAACCCACGTCTGCCCAATCCACTATAGATGTTCACCAAAAAGGAGTATTACAAGAGGTAAATACATATGGCCTCCAGCCTTTACCACTACCACTCTTTCTAACACCTATCCAGGATTGACACACGAATACCCGAACAATCTTCACAAGATGCTTCAGCAGTACCACGTACTGATCATGTAGTACAGATTAAATATTCATCAGAATTAAATAATAAAATACATTAAAATCGAAGGCTTTGTAAATCAGAAGTGTGCTCTTGAATATTAATCTCAAAATTGGCAGCTTTCCTCTTTGGTGTGGCTTCTTTTTATAGCAAGTATTAAGCCTCCACTTTGATCCTTAATATTAGCCTCTTTTTATTTGAATAAATCACAACCACATCTTTTTTGTTTTGAAAGCTTCATTCATGCGTTGCTGCTGACTTCCTCTTCACTTGCCAATGCATATTGTCCACTCAAATTCACTTTGAAGATATAAAGTAGTCCAAAGGAAGATTAACACTAATAATTCTAATTTACCTCTTAATTAGAACTAATAATATTACTACTAAATAAAATAGCCAATAAGTTTTAACGTGTAAATACTTTTACACTTACAAAATCAATACAAAAATCTAAAAACACTAATCCAAACTAAAAAATTAAATTTCATGAAATGATACCAGTTTTTAATTAGGGAATGAGATTATTAATTGAAGGAATAATTAAATCCCATAATTGTATTTTAAAAATTTGTCAACCAAACTCTAATTATGATTTTGATTATATTTCCATATTCCTGGTGTGTATATCGATTACTAAACACACCCTATAATATTTTATTCTTTTTGAAAACCTATAATATTATATTTAATTCTCTGTTGAATATATTATTGTTTCTTAATGATTGGGATTCCCAGTCTTCCACACGAAAAGGAACAGGATGTGGTTAGATTACATGTGGAAACATTGTTTTAGGCGTTTTCCATCAGATTTAATATACATTAAGTCATTAACACTGTATATAATGGCTATTTCTGATTCTGAATAAAGAATCTGAATAGCATATATATACATTAAGTGGTCAATCTTCATCCCATGGTTCTATATATATATGCTATTCAGATTCTTTATTTACCTTGATCTTAATTGTGAGATAGATGTATACATGAAGACTGACTATGATTTTGTTTGGTTATCTTGTTGGGTAGTGATTTATGCTAGAGAAGAGAATATGCATGGATTTCATCATTTATTCAACCCATCTAAAGGTGACACTTATCAGTTATCCGGTGAGGATAATACACTCCATTCAGCTCCATGCAAGCGAAGTACGCACTTAATCTAGTTAATGTCATCTAGAATCCTTCGAGTAGGATCAGTTTGTCACATTTAGTCTTAAACTTTTAAGTTAATCACTCATGGTCCTTCAACTTTTAAATTTTAACCAGTCATGATTCTTTTGAAGGACCACTATTAGTTAAAATTTGAAAGTTGAAGGATCACGATGGTTAACTTGAAAGTTAAAGGATTTCAGTTGGTTAAAATTTGAAAGTTGAAGGACTACGCTTGTTACTTAGATAATAAGGGCTTTGGGCATGCATGAATGATGCCAGAATCTTTCTTGTAGATAGATACTGTGACTTACAAGCATAAAGGATGTTCTTACTGATATGTTCAACTAGTAAAAGGAGATGAAGTTCACATGATTGGATTTTGATAGTTCTAATGTTAGCCTCTAGCTTGACAACGTTGAAGATCATATAGATGCTATTTGGATTCTGGATCGAGAAACCTGGTGCGCATTTTATTATGGTTTTTTAATTGATCATTGAGTATAAAACTAAAAGGAATATGCTATTCTGGTTACTCATAATTGGTGGCCTCATTTCAATTCATTCCTCAATCAGATCAGAAACACAAGCAGAAACAATTGTAAGACGACAAGACAGTGTTTGATCACAGAATCTGTTGAGGAGTCTTGACAGTCTAGGAACCTTCATACAGCAATTAAGGACACACGTTTTCCAAACCGGATGTTCTTGGTGAATTAACTTGTTTAGACTTCCTCATTCCAAACCTGTCAAGGATTTTCTCAATATAACTCTGTTGAATTAGCCACAAGACCCACAACTTCCTTAGCTTGCATCTCTATCCTTGTGAATTTTCATGCCAAGAATTTTTTGTGCAAACTCCTAAGTCTTTCATGTCAAATTCATGACTCAACAAAGCTTTCAATGTAGTAATGTCATTCATACCCTTAGCACCAATCAGCATATCATCCACATACAATAACAGAAAAATAAAAACACCACCACCAAAGCTCTTAACATAGACATAATAATCATACTCACAATGTGTGTAGCCAATTTGAATCATTTAAGCATCGAACTGCTTTTACCACTACCGTGGGGCTTGTTTCAACCAATACAATGATCTTTTAAGCCTACAAATCATATGCTCACCTCCAGGTTTAACAAACCCTTCAAGTTCTTTCATAAAAAAATTGTTCATCTAGATCACAATGCAGAAAAGCAGTCTTCACATCCATTACTCCAAATACAAATCTCAAATAGCTAACAAAGCAAGTACTAATATGATAGAAGTATGTCCAACAACAGGAGATGAAACTTCATCATAATATATCCCCTTCTGTTGAGAAAAATGCTTTCGCAACTAACTGAGCTTTGAATCTTTCCCCTTCTTTTTCTGATACTGATGGCTTCTTCCTATAGACCCACTTGCACCCTATAACCTTATTACCTTGAAAATGATGAATAACTAGCTCCCAGGTATGATTCTAATGTAAAGATTCCATCGCCTCAATCATACCTGTCATCCATTTATCTTTCTCCTAGCTAGAAATAACCTCTTGAAAGGTAACTGGATCATTAATTATTAGTAACAAGAAGTACAAAAGAAACCGTATCCTCGAACCCATACCTGCGAGATGGTATGACATTGGTGCGTCTCGGTCTATCTCTAGCCAAACAATAATCTTGTAAATTTTCTAAATTCAAACCTGCTACAAATGTGGAATCTGCAACTTCTTGAGTCTCAACCGTATGTGGATTATCTGCTCTTTCATTTAAAGGTACACTATCTATATCCACTTATATTGTGCTAGAACCATTAACTAGTGTATCTCCTTTCTTCGTCTAAAGCATGGAATGCTCATTAAACATTGCATCTCTACTAATCACCACCTTCTTGGTTGCAAGATCCAAAACTTGTATCGTTTTACACCTTTCTTGAAGCCTACAAAGATGCACTTCTTTGACTTGATATCTAATTTTGATCTCCCATCACTTGGAACAAGAACATATAGCCGTGACAACAAAACACTCGCAAGTGATCAAAATTCATAGGATTACCTGTCCAAGCCTCCTCAAGAACCTTGCCGCAAAGCGATGTCAGTGGTGATTTAATTTATTGATCAAATAACATGTCATGTTCATTGCTTCTACCCAAAAACAATTAGAGAGCCCAACATTCAATCTGAGACACCTTGTTATCTCAGCAATGGTCTTATTAAGCTGTTCAGCAACACCATTCAATCTATTGTGGTGTCTTACACACCGTACAGTGCCTTTGAATTTCATATTCTGCACATAATTTTTGGAATTCTTTCTAAGTATACTCTGTCCCATTGTTAGACCTCAAGTACTTTAATTTATTTTTCTGTCAGTCTGGTTCTCAACCTCAACCTTCCACAGCTTGAATTTTTCAAACACTTCAGATTTATGTTTCAAGAAATACACCCAGATTTTCCTAGAAAAATTGTCAATAAATGTAACATAATACCGAGACCCACCCATTGAAGGATCATTGGTAGGTTCCCAAACATCAGAATGCACATAATTTAGAACCCCTTCAGTTTTATGCTTCCCAGTAGAAAAACTAACTGTGGACTATTTCCCAAGGACACATAACTCATAGAAATCTAGCTTACAACATTTAACTCCTTTTAACATATTCCTTTCGTGCAATTCAAACAAACCTCGTTCACCAATGTGACCTAAACATAAATGCCACAACCTAGTAGTATCATCACTAGACTCAACAGAATGTGCTCCACCTACAACAGTACTGACCAACAACCTATAAATGTTCCCTGTGGTCATTTTTCCTTTCATTACAGTTAAAGCACCATTACTGATTTTAAAGGTTTCCCTATCACTTTCAAATTTATGAATAAAACCATTAGCATGCAAATTGCCAAGAAAAATCAGATTTTTAGTTAATCCTGGTATATGTCTCACATCATGCAAAGTTTGACGATACCATCATACATATGGATGTTAACATCGCCAATACCCACGGTATTATGACGTCTATCATCACCCAAAAAAATCATAACTGAAAGTACCTGACTTATAGGTTGTGAACCACTCCTTGTTAGGTGTAATCATATGATAGGAACATCCCGAGTCTAGAATCCAAACATCTGACAATTGACTCGATGAAACTGCTAGAACATCACCTTCATTATAATCTAAGTCATCAGCATGTACCACGTTCGTAGCCTCTTGTTGCTTCTTCAACTTTTGACAATCTCTTTTCATTTGCCCAATCTCCCTACACTTGTAGCACCGAATTTTCTTACTATTTCTAGACTTAGACCTAGAGTTTCTCTTCCAAAAATTATCCATCTCTTGCTTCCTTCCACAATCCTAACTCCCCTTAGCATACAAAATGTCACTAACAGAGCCCTCTCATGTATTCTGTTTGCGCTGATTATGAGCCAACATGACTATAGAGATCTCATTGAATTTAATCATGACTTTCCCGTATGTAAGAGTAGTCATCAAATGTTCAAAGGAAAAAGGTAGTGAACATAGCAAGATCATCACCTTGTCTTCATCTTCAATTTTGACATCATGTCTAGCCAGATCTGAGATTATCTGGCTCAAAACATTAATATGATGCACCAAGTCAGAACCCTCCTACATCTTAAGCTCATAAATGTCTTTACTTTATATACAGTTTGTTCATCAGAGATTTTTCCATGAACTGAGTTTCCAATTTATCCCATATATCTTTTGGAGTTTCGAAAGCCCGTGATACACGATTTCATCTGCAAGGCATAACGGAATGGTTCCTGTTGCCTATTCTTTTAAATCCCCCAATCATTTTAGCTGGCTTTTCTGCCCTCAAGGTTTTCAAAAGACCCTATTGTGCCAACAAACCTTAACCCTAAACTGCCACAACCCGAAATTCACTGTATTCCTTGTACCATCAAACTTTGATACATCGAATTACGTACTTGAACTGGTCATCCCAACAATGCTCTGATATCAATTTGTTGAGATTAACAAGAACAAGAAATAATAACAATGACAAAAAGGTAATTAAAGGAGACAATATATATGTGATTCGGCAATATGCCTATATCCATGGGAGTAAAACTATTCCTCTTTTAATTGCATGTGATGGTGATACCACACATAGGGATACAATCAATATATTTATAGACATCTACCATTGTACTATGGGTCCGACCCAATCCCCTTCACCCTTATTTCTTATAGGAAAAAAACTTATATTCTCCATGTGAAACAAATTTTTATTTTTTATATAAGACAAACTCAACATAATTGATAGATCAATGACCATGAGAATGAGATTGACATTTAGAAACATCTTCCTTGATCCCTTATTACAATGGGGATATGGGTAACCTGATTGGTGTGGGTAGTACTATTAATTATGAGAATCACCAATAATTATGAGACGAAACCATCCAATGAGTATATCAGTTGACTTTTCTACAGACGTGTGTAATTGTGCATTCCCACTTGCGATTGATCAACACTGTAATAGCACATCTATATATATATATATATATATATATATATATATATATAGGCTACCTTTCTAGTGCACACTACTCTTAATGTGTGAATTTGTGGAATAATGCGGTGCATTGATATTTTTGATCTAGTGGCTCATGTTCGCAGTGCACCGGCCATTCACTGATCCGCACAACAGGGTGGTTTGGGGGCACTCCCGTAAAAACACACTCTTTATGTTTGAAATGGATAACGATGCATGTTATTCGGGATTCGGTGATCGAGAGTAGCAGTCTGGCGTCTGCGGGCGGTTGCGGAATTTCAAAGCTTCCGATGTGTGACGGTGCGGGAGTAGTGATGATGGGCGGAGAACGCAATTCTCACGCCAGGGTGGGCTTCGAGAGTGTGCATCCCCAGTTCTGGAGACCGGCTGTTGACAGCGCAATCACGCCGGCTGTTGGGCGCCGGTTTACGTCTATGGCCGAAGGCATCCAATTCTATACAGACTACGCTCGGGCGTGTGGGTTTGACGTTCGGCTTAACACCCTCAAACGGGACCGCGAGGGCGAAATCGTGATGCGATACTTGGTTTGCAGTCGACAGGGAGTTAAGGGTGGTGGTACCCGCAAGCCGATACCGGAACACGGCAGTACCGGCGGGAAGCCTAAGCAGCGTAGACGACGGGTATCTAACCGGGTCCAGTGCCGAGCAAAGATCTGCTTTAAGAAGGAGGGCCCCGAGGAGTTTGAGATCGGTATCTTTGTAGAGGAGCACACCCACCGTATGTGCTCTGAGACGTCAAAGTATTTCATGCGAATGAACCGGAAGCTGGATGCGGCTCAGCAGTCGTTGGTGGCAAGTTGTGTTAAAGCGAACATTGGATCTTCCAAAAGTCTGAATTTATGCAGGGAGGTAACCGGGTCGTATGCAAATGTGGGTGCTACTGAAACCGAATTTCACAATTTTAAACGAGACTTACAGACATATGTGTCGGCCTACGACGGTGAGATGATTATAGAGAAGTTTAGAATGAAGCGCGAGGCATCCGAGAAATTTTATTCCGATCACTACCTTGACGGCGAAAACCGTTTAACGCGACTTTTTTGGGCTGACCCAATTGGTTGCAGCAATTTTTCCATGTTCGGTGACGTGATCTCATTCGATGCAACGTATGGCACAAACAGGTACGAGTACGAATGTTGTTATACAAATGAATGGTAGTGTAGTTGTATGTAGGTAGATATGTTGGTAAGGGGGAATTAAAAGAAGGGTTAAAAAGAACAATGTGGTGGTGCGTACATGTGTGTGTTGTGTTGCAATAGGGGTAATATATTGTAGGGGAATGGATGGTTGGTGATGGGGTCCAGCTGGGGGGGGGCGGGGGGGGGGGGGGGTATTGGAACTGGATCTTTTATTAGTTAATGGTGTGGCAATGAACCTGGGATGCATTCATTACTTGTCTTGTAGTATGTGGTCCTAGGGGTGTTTTAGTGTAATTGCAATTGTTATGTGCATGCATTTCAGTTTGGGGCAATCAAATATGTATTCATATAGGGACGTGAACAAGTGCACCAGTGTTTCAATACATACACTACTAAAACTGCAATCCAAATTTGTTATATGGGACTAAATTTTAAGCTTAGTGTTATGCACATTTAAAACTGTTATGGTGTGTGATTAAATACTCATTTGATGGAAAAACTATATTCAAAGCTTGATGGCATTCAAAAAAAAAAAAAAAAAAAATATTCAAAGCTTGATGTTTTCACTTTGGGACACTGGTCTGCAAATATTGTTTGGCAATAAGGTGTTTGAATACTCATTTTGATGGACAATTCGAATTAACAGCTAGATTTTTGGAAACCAGATGCTTACCAACGAATACTAGATGGATTAAAAAATGGATTATTTGCATTATGCAGGTTAATTAGTTTTGGTGGGGTGTGTGGCAAGCTTAACATTCCGAATGGACTAGATGGGTTAAAAAATGGATTATTTGCATTGTGCAGGTTAGTTAGTTTTCGTGGGGTGTGTGGCAAGCTTAACATTCTGAATGGACTAGATGGATTTAAAAATGGATTATTTGCATTATTAGGCAGGTTAATTAGTTTCTGTGGGGTGTGTGGTGTGGCGTCCATGCGTTTGTGTTAGATTACAAGTTACTGTGATTAATTATTGTCCATCGTGCGGTGCGTACTACGAATTGTTTACCTACGTCCTAACCCCAACTATTAAAATGGTTCATTTTGATACAGGTATAGTTTGGTGTTCGTACCTTTCACTGGGGTTGATAATCATAAGCGGTGCATTACTTTTGTTGCTGGTTTGCTGACTAAGGAAGATGTTGAATCGTATGCGTGGCTGTTGGATAGATTTAAGGTTGCAATGGGCAAGAGCCCGACATGCGTTGTCACTGACCAAGACCCTGCTATGAAGGTTGCGGTTGCAGAAGTTTGGCCGGAGTCTCGCCACCGTTTCTGTATGTGGCACATCATGACAAAGGTCAACGAAAAGATCGGTCCTGATTTGGTAAAGGACCAGGATTTTCGTAGCAGACTGAATGGCATTGTTTGGAACGAAACTATCAGCCGCAACGCATTTGAGATGCAATGGGGTCTATTAATGGAGGAGTACAATTTATCTAGCCACCGATGGTTCACCAAATTGTATGGTGAGCGGGAGTTTTGGATTCCAGCGTACTTCACAGACATCCCGATGAGTGGGTTGCTCCGCACTACGTCTCGATCTGAAGCAGAGAACGGCGTATACGGGAAGTGCACCCGGCCACACTTTAGTCTGGTCGAGTTCTACATGCAGTACGAGAATGTTTTGGAAACCCAGCGTCTTAAGCAATCTAAACTGCACTCACAAAGTGAGGGGTACTTGCCTGATTTGAAAACGCCCTTAGCGTTAGGACGTTATTTGGCACGGGTGTTCACAATAACAATTTTTTATGATCTCCAAAGGGAAATTGAGGCTGCTTGTTTCTATTGCAAGGTGGTGGGTATTCGTGAGACTGAGGGTGTTATCAGTTACATCATTACCGGGGGTTGCACCACCCAACACACTGTGAACTATACCCCTATCGATGGCAACGCATCTTGCAGTTGCAAGATGTTTGAGAGGTTGGGGCTAGTTTGCCGGCATATGTTCTTGGTGTTTAAGGATGCCCAAATGGAGAGGTTGCCACCGGCGTGTGTGATGACACGTTGGTGTAAGGGAATTGGAGTTAGCGTTTGTTGTGGGTGGTGAAACGTCCATCCATCCGAGACTGTTCCTAGCCAACTATGGAGTGAGATACACGCATGCGTTGGGTTAGCAGGGAACAATATAGCCCATCAGTCACGATTGGTGCAAGTTTTGAAGGATCTTAAAGCTGAGTTCCTAAGAACGGGAACTAGCGTTGGCCCTACAATGGGTAACGGTGCAGCCATTGCTGCTTTGTGTGGAGTTGAGCGTCCGACGTCCATAACCATCCTACCACCAGCTCAAGCTAAGAATAAAGGGACCGGGTAACGTATTAAAAGCCAAAGAGAGTTAGCAGTGGAGAAAAGTGCCAAAGCGGTGCGGAAGTGCGGGGTGTGTGGCGAGTATGCGCACCATAACGCCCGTAGTTGCCCATACAAGTGAAATGCCCACACAAATGTGGTTCGTGCTGGGGTTTGGTAAAATCATTTACTTCATTTGTTGTCACCGTTCTATTATTTTATTTTTCGGGGTTTCAAAGTATCTGTTTGTTTTTATATCCAGATGTGCTGGTGGATGTGCTGTTCGAAGTGTTCACTACTTGGGGTGCACTTGCCTGGTTCGCCACATCGTCTCCTTTGCACAGGCATTTGTTGATTAATTTTTGGAGAGATCTGGTGTTTGAACCGTGTTTTTAGAGGAGCCATGACGTTTGTCCGTGGAATTCGTTTCGTTTTTTTTTTTTTTTATTGTTGGTTTTGGTTTTTTTTTTTTTTTGTTTTTTTTTTTTGTTTTTGTTTTTAATGCATTTTTAGACCAGTCCTTTAGTGCTTTAATAATTTGGTTGTTGGCATTGCTCGTTGAATGTATTGAACATCTCGCACCGTGAATTAAATTGGCATCTATACAACATATGTAGACAGGGAAAAATATAGCACACAAGTATGAGCCTTATGAGGGATCAAATTGACACATCAATCAAATGTCAACTATGAGCGTTATGACGGACATACTCATAACGAGCTGTTATGGGGTGGTGGTAAATTGTTGCTATTACTAAACTAAAAGGAAATAAACTAAACTAGCAGTGGGTGACAAGTACATGTCAAACAGGTTTCAAAAGGGAGGCTTCACATCTCGGATCCAGGAATATGTTGCTTTCATTTTCGGATTGTGTTATTACTATCAATCAAGTCACCGACATTGGGAATACTTACAATAAATTAATTTGGCATCACACATTGATTACTCCCATTACTGTGGCAAGTAACAATTACGCATCTATTTTAAAAGCTCAACATAAGTGCATTTTGGCAACTTTCTTTTGTTTGGCGCATTGGAAATACTTACAGTATATTAGATTTCTTCTCCCAAAAGTATATTAGATTTCTATTAACATATTGCTAGGATACGTATACATAGTACTGCACCACTGCACCTAGAAATACAATGCTAAGTATTCATCTCATATTCGTTTAACAGAGCAGGAAACACCAAAGAGAGTATTCGTTTACCAATATATTACTTAATATTTAAATATACGTACATACAAAATACACAGAATCACCTCCAATGATTATGAAGGCATATATATACGAACATATGTATACAAGTATGAAATGGCAGGATTATACTTAATTATGAACATAATTATTTAGCAACCCAAATCTAGCTTCTTAATACCTATATCTTCATGTTAATATATATATATATATATATATATATATATATATATATATATATATATATATAAGCAAACACGAAGCAAAATACTCACTAACCTCATATACAGAACTCATACCCAGACAACATGTACCCGATGTATTCAAACAGTTTATATACCGGATGCAATTTTCATATAGAACATAATATCTACCAAGATCACGAATCACATAACAAATGTCAAAATAACAAAATAGATCACCTATTTAGCACAGCAAGACTACACACCTGCCCAGATTATTTTTGCAAAAAGGATAAGTTAGTTGACTACTGCAATCGGTCACAGTGAACTAGCCCCAACCTGAAACATCCCTGTACCCAAAATCAAGTCCCAGTTTATTAACTATTGCTTTTCAGAGCTGCCCCCTAGGCAGTTGTTAGGACGGTTGGCGCGCCGTTGATTGGAGCATCTGTGCAGCCCTCATGCGGTCGTACTCCCCCACACGTGCGATAATATTTTGCACGTGGACATTTGCGGCGCTGAGGATGATGTTGTGCAGGAAACGCTTGCGAAGGTTGAGCATCAGCGCCGCACCCCCTGCTTGTAGCCCGCAATACCAGGTGGTGGATTTCTGACCAACATATTCCTCCATGTGTCTCATCGTATATACCGCTGACTCTACACCGGCCGTGGGTTCTCCCCATGCCACCATCATCCTTTTAGGTTGCATGTCCCTCAGACGTAGTGCACGCACCGGCTGTTGTTTTCTCTCGAGATATGCAGCTAGGAGGTCCCTCTGTAATGCTGACCAACTTAAACTAGTAAGTGGATTAGAACTAACGGGTGTGACGCATGGTTAGCCGCATGTGATAGTGTGATACTCACCAATTCCCCCGGGATGCGTCCGTATATCTCTATGCTATCGCTGACCGCTGGAGCGCTGTCAATAATGTCAAAGGTCCCATGCTTGAAACTGATGCTGATCATGAAGAACCGCCTGTTATGCATAATCGGGAAGATATACTGCAAGAACAAGTACAGAATATTACACGGTAAGCACATGCAAACTTTAATATTGCAGGCAATTAGAAAGCGTGTACGACTTGGTACTGTAGCAACTGCCATTCTCTTTTTTACATCAACGAACAAGATTCTAAATTACAAGGCAATATAGAAGATAGCAGCAGTAATTCTACTTGAAACTGAGAATATAGTACTGAAATGCACAACTATTTCCCATGGTATTGTTACTCAATGCAGCTTTGTGTTTTTTTTTTTTACTGAAATGTCGTCACCAACATAGCATTTGCACAGATATACCGAACAAAAAATCAGTAGTAATTCTATTCGAAACTACTAATACAGTGCTCAAATGCACAACTACTCCCCATGGTATTGGTGTTAAATGTCGCTCTGTGTTTGTGCCTCTCATTCGTGGAGAGTTTTTTTTTTTTTTTTTTTTTTTTTTTTTTTTTAAGTTTACTGAAATCTTGTTGGTATCACAATCCCATTTTTTTGTTAACTCACACTGCCCTTTTTTTTTTTTAATCGAAATGTTGTAGGTATCACACTGCACTTTCGTTTTTTTTTTTTAAACTCACAGTGCACTGAAATGTCCTAACGTAGCTAGCAGTGAACTAGAACCAACACTGTAATCTCGGCCACCCTAGTAGGACTACTGCAATCTCGCCCATTAATGAATCTGACTAAAATGTTACGGGATCCCCACATTACAGGACCCTGAAAGTTTACCATGTCGAGCGTGGCGATCCCCACATGGTCGGTAGCTTGCACCTCTATATCAAGTCTTCGTGTGAACCACGCTAGTCTATCATTCCGGTTGCAGGTAGCAGCGACCACCGTCCCAATCTGCAAGCACACATTGTTACGGACTGCCAGGGAGCACATAATTAGTGCATGCACAGACAAAGTAGCCCCGCAAGTGGTTTCTGTTATTTGTTTTTTTTTTTTTTTTTTTTTTTTTTTTGTGCAGTCTGTATTACTAATGGATTGTATTTTTGTTACAGCGAGTCCTAATACCTATTGTGTAATTACACACTGAGAGAAACCTGATTTTTAGATTCGTAGGTACTAACAGTAACACTAGGTATGCATTATAATCTTCCAATTAACCGCCTTTTAAAGTTATGATAAACCCAGAGGCTAAAACTATGACTACCATAATTATAGTGCACAAGAAACAGAAAGGACAATGAAGACATAGGGGACTGCTAATGGTACGTAGAGCTACATACCGTAGTGGCTGGAGTTAAAAACATGCGTGAAGATACCCCGGGTTTCCTATAGTTTTCCCTCGTATTGAGTACAAAGCACCAGGCATCGACCATCACTTTAGAGATGTTTGACCCCTCCTTGAGTGTGCTGAAGTCCGCCCATCTTGCTTTCCGGTCCGCATGCTGGAACAACACTTCATTGCTAATAAAGCAACACATACAAACGCGTGTTACATAGAGTTCATGCCCCCCCCCCCCCCCCCCCCCCCCCCATTTTCCAAGGTATGGTGTACAGTACTTACCGGTCGCCGTGCGGTGAGTCAAAAAGCCACTTCCAGACGACATAAACGGGTGGCAGGGGAGCCGTGGGGTACCCCTTTGCGGCGTTGAAAACCATGCAAAACGGTTCGCTCTCATTCCCAAGTGGGCTCTTTCCTTTGTGGACTGCTCCAGGCCTCCCGCCCAGTGGCACACGCGGCGGTGGCGATTCCAGGACAGCAGGGCGGTGCACCTGCACAAGCTAATTAAATACCCCTGCATTACTGCCCTAGTGCACACACTGCGTGATGTCTAACCTGTTACCTGGGGAGTCAGTGTGGTAGCATTTGACAGGCCATGCGTCCTACGCTCAACCCTCAATGATGCCAGCGTGCGCAACCCCCGCTGCGGCGTAATGGTCCCCCCCGTCCGCTGTCGCTGTAATGGTTAAGTGCACGCATCAGTAGATAACTCATGTAAACCCTCAAGATAGGCAAAACTAAAGTAAATCAGTAACCTGCATAAGTGGTGTGGCCGCATTTGACGGGCCAGCTGTCAACCCCTCCATCTCTGGACGCGTCTCCCTCGCCTGCACCACCTGACATGGGGGAGTAAATCAATCACCCATTACGATCGAAATGAAAGCTTAACTAAACTACACCCCAGCACATATTACATTCAACGAGCCAACCGACATATCCTCTACCCTCTGTGATGCCAGCTCTTGTGTCATCCCTAGGCTAAAACTCGGTGGCTCAAACCCTTCCGGACTGGGCTCCCTGACTTGCACCCCCTGAAACAAACGGTTGCATAAGACATGTAAGTTTTAACGCCCTCCCCCCGCAGTGCACTGTTGATAAAATAAAACAAAATTATTTGCATCGGCACTAACTATAGATTCTAGATTGATAAAATTGTAAGTGAAGAGATAATCGGAAAACTAAATCAAAAGAAAACTTCCATAATGGTATCGAAAGTGAATAGAATATAAAAATAATAGACAGCAGAATGAGTGGCGTTTAGGCCATAACCTGTCGAGATTGCATGGTTCCATTTGCCTGGCCAACCGGCATACCCACCATCCTCTGTGTCGTTAGGTCTCGCGTGACGGCCTCCTCAACCCGATTGACCTCCCTGAATAACTGGGAGGAGTGCCAGAACGGGTCTTCATGGTGCTCTGGAGGTAAGACTGGTGCGGTGGTCACTTCAGGGATCCGATTGGGTGCGACTTCAGCCAACTCTTGTGTCATCCCTAGGCTAAAACTCGGTGGCTCAACCCCTTCCGGACTGGGCTCCCTGACTTGCACCCCCTGAAACAAACGGTTGCATAAGACATGTAAGTTTTAACGCCCTCCCCCCGCAGTGCACTGTTGTTAAAATAAAACAAAATTATTTGCATCGGCACTAACTATAGATTCTAGATTGATAAAATTGTAAGTGGAGAGATAATCGGACAACTAAATCAAAAGAAAACTTCCATAATAGTATCGAAAGTCAATAGAATATAAAAATAATAGCGAGCAGAAAACTTCCATAACCTGTCGAGATTGCATGGTTCCATTTGCCTGGCCAACCGGCATACCCACCACCCTCTGCGTCGCTAGGTCTCGCGTGACGGCCTCCTCAACCCGATTGACCTCCCTGAATAACTGGGAGGAGTGCCAGAACGGGTCTTCATGGTGCTCTGGTGCGGTGGTCACTTCAGCCGGGGTCGGTATCAAACCCGAGATTAAACTGGCGACCCCGCCGAGGTGGTGGAAACACTGGCGTCCCTGGGCCTGTCTGGGGTCTTCGCGAACCTTATTTGCAACGCGTGAGGCTACTATACGGAGGTCAGCAATCATGGAATCTAGTTCACAGCCAAACCCCTACAGGATGAACATGGCCCACCAACAAAAATAGCGCGGGGAACAAGTTAACTACGCCAACATCATGATGTCTTAGCACATTTAGCAAATCGCCGCATGAATATTTATACCTTGTCTGTAGCCGGAATGAGGCCATGGTGCACCGGGTGGTCCCCTGTAGCGCCACGGCTGCCCGTGGTATCCCCTATAGAGCTTGGGACCGTTGGAGCACGGGACGCTGCGCTGATCTGCAACCACACGTAGAGGGTGTCTAAAAGATTTTGGCAGTTGTAGAATTTTAATTACCTAACACTAGAATATCAAACTAGAACTTCTAGCTCACGCCTCCAATAAAAACTACTAGGAACGTACCATGCTAACACCTGGTGTGTGATCTTGGTGCACTGGTTGTGGTCTGCTATCAGCCCGGCCATACCGTGTCTGTTCCACGGAGCTACGACGCGCGGGACGCGCGGCTGGTGTCCAAAACGGTTCCTCCAACCGCCCGTACCCGAACCCCCCCGCATCAACCTCCTGTTGCTCCCATGCATCCAACGCCCTTTTAGTCCATCCGTGTGAGGCCGGGTTGGCCCTCGGCACATTCCGCTCGCCGACTTCGACCCTGTCAACATATAACAACTGCACAAATATGTTTGCACGCATTATACCCCCATAAAACAAGCACCAGCAAGTGTACACATCTAATTATACACCCCAAGCGAATGCATAACTTACAGTCAAGAACAACAACGGGCCCGTGAATTTCCTTGCGGTGTTCTGGGACCAGCTATCATGGGTATTTACCAGCGAGCTTAGAAGATAACCACACCAATCAAGATCCTTGATCATCCTCACATCCTTAAACATGTGTACGGTCTTCTGGTTGGCATAGCCGTTGGGTGTGCTCGCTACCAAAGTGCTCGCCACTACCAGACAGAAATGGCGTTTGAACCACACCCCACCTTCTTTGAGACTTAACGCCAGCGTGGCCAGCGCGTGCACCGTGATATTACCGTTACGCTTCTTAACCTTACACCGCCATGCAAGCAAGTCTGGACCAACCATATGGCAATCCCGTTCGGTCATCGTAACGGATCCATTCGGGAGGTCCAGCACAGCTGCCACGCCTTCCTCCGTGATGCGTAGGAACCTCCCGTTGCTCAACTTTATGGCCATTTGTGCAGGGTTGAAGTTGCTTACCAACCAATGGCCTAGACGCAAGGGTAAAGCCTCAACCCGGAGGCCTAGAAACCCCCCCATGCCAATAGAAATAACATCCTTCCTCTGCTTTGTCGATAATCCAGTGAGCAGCCGTACAAGCTCACCCGGCCTCCCCCGCGTCTCAATCTGGGAGAACGGGGATGCACCGGCTCCGTATCATCCAACTCCTCGGGGTCACTAGGGGGGGTGTGGGCCTCGTCATCCACATCGGTCCCATCGTCACTTAAAACGATTGGTTGTCTAGCATCAGCCCCTGCACCACCACAGAATTTGGTTACTAGCAGCATGAAAATGAAAGGGAATTTATATTAGACCCTATCATAGATTAGAGTGTATGGCATGAATTTATATTAGACCCTATCATAGATTAGCATGAAAATGAAAAGGGAATTTATATTAGACCCTAAATATAGGGGAGCATACATTTAGGACACTACCTGCCTGTATTTAAGAAGTTACCCCCTGTTAAATGACTAGGTTTCATTACTGAAACTGCTTACAAGTTATTTAATTCATTCCCTACTACTTACGAAAATTTGAGGGCTGTGCAGTAGTGCCTCGGGCCAGAATTAGGACTGTGCAAAATTAAACAGCTTTTAAAGACCTGATTAATTAATTGGCAACCAGATGTTCATTTGGAAACCAGATGTTTAATGTAATTGCACTGCATGTAATTCTGCTGTAACAAAGAATGCAATATGATTTATGAGTCACCCCAAAAATTAGGACTGCGCACAATTAAACAACTTTTAAAGATATGATTAATTAATTGGCAGTTCATTACTGCATGTAATTCTGCTATAACAAAAAATGCAATATGATTTATGAGTCACCCCATTTTTGGAAACCAGATGTTTAATCATATGGTTCATTTGGAACCCAGATGTTTAATGTAAGTGCACTGCATGTAATCCTGTTGTAACAAAAAATGCAATCTGATTTATGAGTCACCCAATTTTTCACCAGTAGGCCCTTCACATGTAACCTTCCTCTGCATATACATATGTAATTACTACCATATATTTGGAGAATCCCTATCTAAAATGGAGTTATTGAGTCTGAAATAGTCGCGGATCATTTGAGATGATCACCAAATATATAATGTCAAGAAGGATTTGGACATCATTTAGCGATATGATTAATTAACTGGTAGTTAAATCAGGAACTAGATGTTTAATGAAAATGCAGTGCATGTAATGGGAATGCAGACAGGCAGCGTCGTGTTGTACACCATATTAGTAGTTTTTGTCTGTTCCAAAGTCACTAACTACCTTTTAAATGGGAATACTCCTAATAAGGATGCAACCATAAATCAAAAATTAACAGTTTTCATCAGATTGTGGGAATGCAGACAGGTAGCACCCTACTGTAAAACATATTAATAGCATATATTAGGAGAACCCCACAACCAAATGAAGAAGGCAACTGTGATCAACTAAACTAATTCTTTGCCTAGTACTGATGAGCATTTGGTGGGCTATGCAGTAAGTGGGTTATGCAGTTGTGCCTCAAGCCAACCTTAGTGATCAAGTGAACCATCAAACTAAAAAAATAAATAAAAAAGTACTTAATGCTACCAGCCAATACTGTCCACTAACAAGAAAAATTAACAAATGATGTGGCAAATAAGCTCAGTATATAACATAGAACATTAAAAATGCTAGCTTCCACATAACCTGGAGTTTGAATTTGTTAAAATCCCATTTTAGTGTTGAATGTACCTCAGAAACCCCCACTGTCTGCTTACTTCTGATAATCCTAGGAGCTAAAACTACGCCCAGGCCCAGTTCAATTCTCCCAGCCCCCAAAGAACTACCCTAATTAGAGTTCTAACCTGAGAAATCAAGCTGGAGCGCCGCCTGCCGCCGGGCTGCGACCCTAGCCGCTATGCCGGACGCAGACAGAATCCCGCTGCCGGACCGGCGTTTAAACGTCCAGGAGCCCCTCGACGCTCGGTGCGAACCAGCCGATGGCGGTGTCACCGGCGACAGTAGCTGCCCCACCACCCTCCTCCTCGAACCCCGCGCGCCACTCAATCAAGTCATCACGAGCTTGTGAATGCACGGCGTTACACCGGAGCGACCGTTCTGGTGAGTAGACTAGTCCGATTAGTCAGCTGGTGAAACACCACCCCCCCTGCCTTGGGAGCAAAAAAAAAGACTCGGGAATGCACTCCAGTGCTTGGTTGAGATTACAAACACACCCATTCCACAAGTAAAGTGTTAATTATTAGCCGTGATCCGGTGCAGCAACCTAATGTGCACCCTCGCTGATGCCCGTGCATCATGCCACATGCACGCCTGCTAATAGTGCACAAGTGCACATGATAAGAGGGATTTGCACCAGAACTTTTTCCTATATATATATATATATATATATATATATATATATATATATATATATATATATATAAGTAAAATTCTCCTAACAAATTTTTCCCCCAAAACTTTTGTAGTAAAACTTATTTGGTAAGTAAATATCAAATGGAAATTAAATAAAATCTATTAATTGGTAATATTATATATGGTATTATATTCTATAATATAATATAATTGATAATATTATTGTTCAAGTATAATAAAAATATTATTGTTCAAGTATATATATATAAAAGTAAAATCCTCCTAACAAATTTTTCCCCCAAAACTTTTGTAGTAAAACTTATTTGGTAAGTAAATGTCAAATGGAAATTAAATAAAATCTATTAATTGGTAATATTATATATGGTATTATATTCTATAATATAATATAATTGATAATATTATTGTTCAAGTATAATAAAAATATTATTGTTCAAGTATAAAATAAAATTAAAATAATAACAATAACATTAACAACAACAACAACAACAACAACAACAACAATAATAATAATAATAATAATAATAATAATAATAATCCAAACAAAACTATATACAAAATAAAAATAAAATTAAAATTAAAAAAGAAAAAAAAAAGACAAAGATGGCCCCCGTTAGTAAATGATGTAGAATAATATAACAAAAAATGTATATGAGTTGTTTTAGTTTTAGCAGTTTCGAGCAAATTGTTAATTTATTAAATAATATTTTTGGTGTTTTGATAAAATATAAAATGTTAAACAGGCGAATTTCTAAAAATTATGACGAATTTGCGAAATAATCAAATAACAATATCACAACAACAACAACAATAATAATAATCCAAACAAAACTATATACAAAATAAAATTAAAATTAAAATTAAAAAAGAAAATCAAAAAACAAAACAAAAAACAAAAAAAAAAAAAAACAAAGGGGAGTCACGGGCTCCCTTTGTAAATGATTTTGAGATCATTTTTATCCCTCATTGAAAATGTTTGAAAAGAGAGAGCTCCTCTATATAAGAGGAGCAATGATCCACTTACAAACATAATTTCTTGCCCATTAATATGGGCAAGTATTGAGATGTCAAAATGTTCTTATTTAAGAAGCCTCAACTTTGTCTTCTTATTTTAGTTTGTATTTATTTGTTATTAATGGGGGTTGTGAAAGATTAACACAAAATGTATATGTTGTATTAGTTTTTAACTATTTGGAGCAAATTACTGAGTTACTATATAATTTTTTGGGGATTTTGATTAAAGTTAAAATGTTAAAATGACGAATTTGTTAAAATTTTGACGAATCTATCAATAATAATAATAATAATAATAATAATAATAATAATAATAATAATAATAATAATAATAATAATAATAATAATAATAGTAATAGTAATAGTAATCCAAACAAAATGATATACAAAATAAAATTAAAACTAAAATAAATAAGAAGAAGACAAAAGGGTGCCACAAACTCCCCTTTGTAAATGATGTTGGATCATTTGATCCCACATTGAAAATGTTTAGAAAAGGAGCTCTTGAGTTCCTCTATATAAGAGGAGCAATACTCCTTTTTCAAACATAATTGTTTGCCCATCAATGTGGGCAAGTATTGAGAAGTCCAAAGTTTTTTTTTTTTTTTAGTACTATTGACCCGATAAATTATGCTTTGGAATTGTGTCCACCTTGCAAGGTACACACGATTCTAAAATTCTTCATAATTATGAATATATTGTTCAACAATTATGAACATATAGTTCTATAATTATGAACATAGTGTTGTGAGCATAATTATGAACATATAGTTATGTAATTATGAATGTAGATATTCAAAACTTATTTGGTAAGTAAATGTCAAATGAAAATTAAATAAAATCTTTTAATTGGTAATATTATATATGGTATTATATTCTATAATATAATATAATTGATAATATTATTGTAAGTATAATAAAAATATTATTGTTCAAGTATAAAATAAAATTAAAATAATAACAACAACAACAACAATAATAATAATAATAATAATAATAATAATAATAATAATAATAATAATAATAATAATCAAAACAAAAATATATACAAAATAAAATTAAAATTAAAAAAAAAAAAAAAGAAGAAGAAGACAAAGGTGGCTCCCCTTAGTAAATGATGTGGGATCATTTTGATCCCACATTGAAAATGTTTGGAAAGAGAAGCTCTTGATCTCCTCTATATAACCATACAATTGCCTACCCATCAATACTGGCAAGTATTGAGAAGTCCAAAGGCTTTTTATAGTACTATTGACCCGACAAATTATGCTGTGGAACTGTGTCCACCTTGCAAGGTAGACATGGTTCAAAAATAGTTCATAATTATGAATATAATATAATAATCAATATATAGTCCAAAAATTATGAACATAGTGTTATGAACATAATTATAAACACATAGTTATCTAATTATGAATATAAAGATTCAATAATTGTGAATATGAAGTTTTAAAATTATGAATATATATCTGTATAATTATGAACATATAATTCAATAACTATGAACATAGAGTTCTGTAATTATGAATATAGAGTTCAATAATTATGAATATGAAGTTCAAAGAGTATGAATATATAGCTTTATAATAATGAACTTATAGTTTAGTATTTATGAACATAGAACTGTAAGGTGGACACGGTTCCACAACCTATTAAAACCCAACGTGTCAAATGACTCTTATTTAAAAAAAAAAAAAAAACTTATCTTAATGTATTCTTAATTTTTTTAAAAAATTTATTAGGGGGTTTGGGAATGATTAACCAAAAATGTATATGAGTTGTTTTAGTTTTTAGCAGTTTCGAGCAAATTGTTAAGTTATTAAATAATATTTTTGGTGTTTTGATAAACTATAAAATGTTAAACATACGAAATTCTTAAAATTTTGACGAATTTGTCAAATAATCAAATTACAATAACAACAACAACAACAACAATAATAATAATCCTAACAAAACTATATACAAAATACAATTAAAATTAAAAAAAAAAAAAAAAAAAAAAAAACAACAACAACAACAAGAACAAAGGGGAGTCACGGGCTCCCTTTGTAAATGATTTTGAGATCATTTTTATCCCACATTGAAAATGTTTGAAAAAAGAGAGCTCCTCTATATAAGAGGAGCAATGATCCACTTACAAACATAATTTCTTGCCCATCAATGTGGGCAAGTATTGAGATGTCAAAAGGTTCTTATTTAAGAAGCCTCAACTTTGTCTTCTTATTTTAGTTTGTATTTATTTGTTATTAATTAATGGGGGTTGTGAAAGATTAACACAAAATGTATGTGTTGTATTAGTTTTTAACCATTTGGAGCAAATTACTGAGTTACTATATAATTTTTTGGGGGTTTTGATTAAAGTTAAAATGTTAAAATGACGAATTTGTTAAAATTTTGGCAAATCTATCAATAATCAAATAAAAAATAAAAATAATAATATAATATAATATAATAATAATAATAATAGTAATAGTAATCCAAAGAAAATGATATACAAAATAAAATTAAAACTAAAATAAATAAGAAGAAGACAAAAGGGTGCCACAAACTCCCCTTTGTAAATGATGTTGGATCATTTGATCCCACATTGAAAATGTTTAGAAAAGGAGCTCTTGAGCTCCTCTATATAAGAGGAGCAATGCTCATTTTATAAACATAATTGCTTGCCCATCAATGTGGGCAAGTATTGAGAAGTCCAAAGAATTTTTTTTTGTTTAGTACTATTGACCCGATAAATTATGCTTTGGAATTGTGTCCACCTTGCAAGGTAGACACGATTCCAAAATTGTTCATAATTATGAACATATACTTCAATAATTATGAACATATCGTTCTATAATTATGAACATAGTGTTGTGAGCATAATTATGAACATATAGTTTATGTAATTATGAATATAGAGATTCAAAACTTATTTAGTAAGTAAATGTCAAATGGAAATTAAATAAAATCTATTATTGGCGAATTAGTATATGTAATTATATTCATAAATATAATATAATATAATGATATATTATCAAGTATAATAAAAATATATGTTTCAAGTATAATAATAATAATAATAATAATAATAATAATAATAAAAAAAATAATAATAATAATCAAAACAAAACTATATACAAAAATAAAATTAAAATTAAAAAAAATAATAATAAGAAGAAGACAAAGGTGGCTCCCTTTAGTAAATGATGTGGGATTATTTTGATCCCACATTGAAAATGTTTGGAAAGAGAAGCTCTTGATCTCCTCTATATAACCATACAATTGCTTGCCCATCAATGTGGGCAAGTATTGAGAACTCCAAAGGCTTTTTATAGTACTATTGACCCGACAAATTATGTTGTGGAACTGTGCCCACCTTGCAAGGTAGACATGGTTCAAAAATTGTTCATAATTATGAATATAATAATAATCAATAATCAATATATAGTTCAAAAATTATGAACATATAGTTCTATAATTATGAACATAGTGTTGTGAACATAATTATGAACACATAGTTATCTAATTATGAATATAGAGATTCATAATTGTGAATATGAAGTTCAAAAATTATGAATATATATCTTTATAATTATGAACATATAATTCAATAACTATGAATACAGAGTTCTGTAATTATGAATATAGAGTTCAATAATTATGAATATGAAGTTCAAAGATTATGAATATATAGCTTTATAATAATGAACTTATATTTCAGTATTTATGAACATAGAACTGCAAGGTGGACATGGTTCCACAACCTATTAAAACTCAACGTGTCAAATGTCTCTTATTTAAAA